TAAACACATTAAATGCAAGCAAATGTGATTATGACACTACCATCTCTTCAATTAAATCTCTTGAGAAAGGTTCTCCATTCAATTAAACTCCATACAAAGCAGATAATAATGGCGAAGATGTATCAAAATTTAGTCTATTGCCATGGATTCCTAGCAAACAAACGAAAAGCTGATTAGAAAGACTAGGAGAGGATGCACTCATTCTATTTTATAGAATGAACTGTTGTCCGATTCTAGAATCACAAATACAAACCAATTAAGATCTTTAACGTAAACCTGCTGTAATTTTGTCTTTTGATAGTTTCTGGCGACCAACAAAGGGACCCCAAGGAGACCACTTGAGGAACTTAAGGAATGCAAGAGAGGTGCTGCTGACCCCTTTTAAGGTCCCCTGTCTTCCTCACAGAGCCCTAAGGGGTTGGTTGTACACTCCTCACAGGTTGGACTTTGTTCTTTTTACACTGAGCCTTATAATTTTTTTGACTTTCAAATCCAAGGTCAGTTTATGTTATGAGAGAACACTAGTTGTGAGTATTCTTATTTTTATGGCAATATAGTTATTTGCATAAATTCAGTAGGAATGTGCTTTCTTTATAACTGGATACAACTGTTAAATACTGGTTATATTAGCAAGGCTTTGATTAGAATGTCATATTTGAGAATACACATATAATTAATCTATAGGTACTGCAGACAGACAGTCTTGGTTTGGCTTTCTAACCTTGAGAGGTTTTTAAAAATCCAATGAGATTCCTTATCAAAAGTACCAACAAAGTATATCTGATAAAGGCCTAACATCCAGGATCTACAAGGAACTCAAACATACTGAAAGGAAAAAAACAAACAGCCCTATTAAAAAGTGGGCAAAAGATATGAATAGACACCTCTCAAAAGAAGACATATGAGCAGCCAACATATACATGAAAAAAAAAAGCTCAGCTTTGCTAAACATCAAAGATGTGCAAATTAAAACCACACTGAGATACCACCTAACTCCAGTCAGGATGGTCATCATCAATAACTCATATTGCAGCACTTTTCACAATGGTAGAAACATGGAACCAACCATGCTGTCCATTGAAACTGAACTGGAATAACAAAATGTGGTACATATACACAATGGAATACTATGCAGCCATAAAGGAGGATAAAATTATAGACTACACAGCAACTTGGATGGATTTAGAGTCTATAATACTCAGTGATCTATCATAAAAACAAAGAACCGAGTACCCCATATTCTCACTCTTAAGTGGACCCTGAACATTTATCATAATACTATGAGAAAGGGATTGACAGTAGTGGGAAACTGCCAGAGGAGAGGGGGGCACTTCACATCAACAAGGTACATGATCTCAAAAGAGACAAAGTGGGGACCAAAGGGAGACCCAAAGTTTTCCTATAAAATCACCACTTATCTATCTAATCCTGAATTGTACCCCATATCTTTAAAATAATTTTTTTAAATCTAGAAACAGAAAAAAAAGTACCAACAAAGCACATCTAAAAAGAGTCTGTAGTCAACACTATTCTTGCTGCATTTTTGTAAACAGTCAGGCCAAATCTGATGAAACTAGACTGATTTGCAAACAAATTAGCCTTATTCTGGTTATATTTGGTAGAAATGGGGGTGACTGAGATTTCTGAAGAAAAGCTACACTACATATGTTATTAGACTGTAGCCCCATTCGTTGTTTTTATCACCTACTATAGACTGGACTGAATCCTGAATTCTTATTTCCTTCAATATCTGGCTATAAAACTCCAACTAAGAATATGAACTGCTCTGTTCCTGAAGCCCTAGAAGCTGAAGCTGAACAACTCAATGTAAATTTCAAGGGACAAATCTGATGCCTAATGTGCAGGCCACACAGAGTTCACTAAAACACCTGATGCCACAACCATAGACATTCAAACTGCAATCCAGGACAAGAAGCTGATGACTTCAAGATGCAGATAGATTTTCCTAAGACATCAAAGAAGACTCCCTAGCATAATAAAACTTTTACCCCTGTTAGTTTTTCCTTGCTTATGTCTACCTTTTTCACTTGGCAAGATAATGCTGTAGTTAGAATTTTACTACAGTAGTTTCTGCAGGTAAATTGATGAAACACTGGATCTGTCATGCCAAACCTCGATCTATACCTGACCAAAGAGATCTTTTAGCCCACCCAGTGGATAACTTTAGCAATATCCCTAACACGATTGTTCAAATTGTACTAGTGGTTCCTTTGATATAGTGTGACTTCTAAATGTTCTTGTTCTCACTGTGTGCTTTAATTTAACCCAGTCATGGGATATCTATTGGTTGAAGAAGGAAGAATCAGTGCAACTGCTAACACTGCTTATTGTGCAGACTCACACAAAGAATGAGGGTATCTGCTTCTCCAAGATTCTCCTTATATTCTCTGGCCCACAGGGTTCTATTTACCTGATTCCTCTGGTAAATAGAATCCCTATTGGGATTTTAGGGCCACTGTTGCTACCCGGCTTCTGACTAAGGCCTGACCAAAACAAAAAAAAAAGAAGAAACTAGAAAACTCATCCCCATGTGGTTCATTTCACCAGGTTACCACTCCCTTTTGTAATCTACTTTCATTTGTCTGTTTGGCAAAGTCCTCAGGTAGTTTCTTTTTACATTTTGACCAGAGTTTTTAGTAGTAATTGGGGGCAGGGGGAGGGAAGCAATAGTGGGAGCACTGCACCTAGGCTAGAAGTAGCCCCACAATGCATGTTAAGAATTTCTTAGCAGCACTAGAGTTTACACAGAAAAAAAAAAATTCTATAGAGTAATTTAGATATAAAAAGTAAACCAACGGAAGAGTTCCTTAAAAATACAACTTTGAGGTATTTGCGAAAGGAAAAGAAAAATGACTATTTATGTCACTATTCAGGAATGAGAAATAGGTCATATTTATAGTTATCTTAAAAGAAGCAAAAAAAAAAAAAAAACGATCCTTACCTTCTATGAGTGGACACATTAAAAACATTTCTTTGCTGGAGACAGCACACATTAGTGGAGCAAATGCCACTAAATACTATTTTTCCCTTTCGGTTTTAAATTCTTAAAGGACAGGATCTATGTTTCAGCTTCCTCAGCGAAACTGGTTAATTAACGATATTGACCAATTTTTGTAAAAAATCAAGAAAAAAAGGGTTTCTCCCTATAATTTCAACTAATCTTGGAAAATTCAGAAGCCTATTTAAAAGCCTATTTAAGACCCTTCCCACCAAATTTCATCTATCTGAATCTATAGGTGGCATGAAACATACTGCCCAGCTCTCAAGCAATATCATTAATATTAAAGTGTTTCAGGGTTAACAGGGCACTATGTTATATAGCTTAGTTAAAATTACACTTAAAATATGATAAAGCAAGAACTTAGCTGCTATGACCAGATGAACCAAAAACATCATTCCTCCCAAAGATAAGATGAAAGCCAAAAAAGACCATGACCATATTGAACACACACACACACTCGAAAACCATTATATTTTCTTATCTAATATAAAGTGATCAACTCTGTAATGGAGTTAGATATGGTAGAAAGAAGAACTGAAACAATTCAAGTCATCAGTGCAGGCTTACTGAAGGTAGTAAGCATTATAATTAGGGCTTAGAAAGGTAAAACATGAAGGGATAAACAACAAAATCCATGAAATCATAAAAGTTATACACATAAAGTATTTCCCAGATACTCAGATTAACTAAATCTCCAAATATTCTAATTAAAATGTATAACTGGAAGCTTAAATTTAAAATAAAATGAATTAATAATTTACTCAGCAAATGTTAAGGGATGTAAAGACTGGAAAGCATAGCTAATAAGTTTTGATAACTCCTGAAGTTAAATCACAGCTAGAGATCAATAACAGTAAATTCAGGAAAGTCAGTGAAATATAAGGTACTCTTGTAACCTCTTTTGTGACACTTAATAGCACGTATTTTCCCAACTTATTCCATTATTGGATAGACCATAGATATTACTCAATATGGATCTTCTTATACATAACCATATTATTACTACCTTAAAATTTTATAAGTGTTACAAAGTTATTGACCAGAAGCTAATAAAGCAGCAATAATTCTTCATTTATCCTACTACACAAGCTCATGACAGATTAGAAAAACAATTATTTTTGAGACTTTTAAAAATTTAACTATGGGGGAGGGGAGCACACTTCACCATAAGGGAACCTGATCTCAAACCAGGTGAAGTGGGACCCAAAGTGAGGCCCAAACTTTACCTGTACAAACTTTACCTGCAATAATATCAACAAAACTGAAGTTTTACTTTTAAGCTCATAAGAAGTCTTGTAAGTATAAATTTTAAATGGTAAATAACCTGAAATAGTCACTGCTTTACTTGATAAAGTCCCATTTTTAATTCTGAAATTACATTGATGACCAGCAATATCAGACAATTCCTGCATTTACTTCCATTGAAAATGTTTCCTAAAATTGCTACACTAAAAACGTAATCCAGGCCGGGCTCAGTGGCTCAGCCTGTAATCCCACACTTTGGAGGCCAAGGCGAGTGGATTGCCTGAGCCCGTGGGTTCCGTGGGTTCGAGACCCACCCAGGCAACTTGGCGAGACCTCATCTCTACAATAAATCAAAGAACTAGCTGAGTGGGGTAGCGCGTGCAGTTCCGGCTATTTGAAAGGCTGAAGCGGAAGGATCGCGGAGCCCAGCAGGTCGAGGCTGCGGTGGCCAGGAGCGTGCCACTGCACTCCAGTTTGGGTGACAGAGTGAGACTCCAACTCAAAAAATATATATAAAAAAATATATAATCCAGATCCAAAAAGGAAGAGAAAACAATCTGACGTTATCACTTCATTATTGTATAGCTTGACTGAACAAAGTGCATCATAGAGGGTTTTTCTGTTTGCTAAGTTAGCAATTTAGCACTAACAGAGATAATAAGGTTTACCACAAAAAAAGTAAATACACCTCCATATAGCAAAAAAAGAATTAAAACATAGCAAATATACATACTCCTTTTGGAAAGCCATACACATGGGAGAACTGAATCCAAAGACAAGGCACGTCTGGGCGTCTGGGCTGTAGCCATTCTGAAGTAGTAACTCTAGACACTCTTCATGTCCTCCAAATACTGCTGAGTAAACAGGGCTCACTTTTTCTGGCCCAGTGTCACAGAGCCTGTTAGTAAGTGGTATTAACAAGTCCAAGATTCTACAAATACACAAATTCAGGATCATTTGATATTAAATAATTTTATGTGTTCATGTTTACAGGTAACATTTCTATAGCACCATTTTTAAGAATCACTCATTAACTGATTTAAAGAGGTCTTTCTGTCTTCAGTATACCTTCTACCTACATTAAATTATTAAATTATTACATACTAGTTACCCCAAAATGTTACACTTTTTAAAAATGTATTACTGCTAATACAAATTCTGGAACAGAATTAAGTACAGTAATGGTCCTATATGTAAATAGGCAATCTATGTTCTCTTTTATATTTTTCAGTAATTATTTACCTTACCATCACCACCACTACCACTTTACCCGCTAAAATTTAAATTTTATGTTAGATATTTTAGGATCTAATAAATTATTTAAAATTTCTTCATTATACTAAATATGAACTGGCATCAAGAAAATAAATTATTTTCCTTATTAAAGTGCCAGCTAATTTTACTTCTCCAATTAGTAAGAATTTTTAAAGATGATGATTGATATGAAATGTAAAATACTATTTTCATCAGGAAGAAATTAGAACTGTTGCTAAAATATTCTATTTTCTGAAAAGAATATGAACTCATTAAATACTAAGGCAGATTTATAAAGAAGCTGGTTGCTAGGTAGAAAAAGTTCTAAAGAAAATCATTAAAACAAAGTCCTTAGATTATTTGTAAACGTAACCTCTAGCAGTCAGCTGGAGAGAGAAAGGATTATTCTACTCTTCTAAAATTAGAAATAGAACTGTAGTGATAAAGCCAGGAAATTCCCCTCTTTCTCGAAAAAGACAGACAGGACTACTCCAAAGTATCTTATTAGCATTATATTTATCTTTGGTACTTTTCTTTATATAAGGTAGGCCTAATATAACATTTAAGGAAAACATATTCACAGAAGAGGTTACCTTTGAAGTAGGCTATGGAGAGAATCATTCGTGGCAAATAGAATTCTCAAAGTTGAGAACAAATGAGTATAAGAAGGTTTTGGTAACAAGTTAAAGCTCAGAGTACAACTGCATCTAATAGTTCTGTTTAAACAAATGATCAAGAATTGGAGAAAATTTCAAATTTTAAAACCTAAATATTTTGTTAAAATAAAATTTCTGTTTAATGTCTCTTAAATTAAATGTGTGTGCTTCATTTTTTTAAATGGGTCGGAAAAATTATACTCTTTCTCCCAAAGGCACAAACATGCTTACAAATAAAATATCTTTAAGGAAATAGTAACGTGTCATGCCACCTAGTGGCAAAATCACCAAATTGCAGAATGTTTTCCTATGTAAACATACTAAATAATGACAAGTTTACTATTATTTTAAGTTAAATAATACTAGCAAAAGCTGTTAAAAAGTCTTATTGCAGAAATTCTGCTCTAAAAATTTAAAGCATATATTTTTTAAAGTTGTTGAGTGCCAATTTATGATAGGCAGCCATATTCTCGCAGGTAAACCAAAGTTGTTAGCTTCTAAGATTCCTGGAACTCCCAATTTATTCTCTCTCCAAAAAATATCCATAATTTCATGGGAGCTTTTGACTAAGAAAGAAAAGTAATGGCAACAGGAAAAGTCCCAGGTTGGGTTTGAAATTAGATAGAAAAGTCAAGTGGGAAGGACTACTTAGCATACACAGACTCCAAAAGGTGTCACGAACTCAAAAGCTTTCTGGGGCTAGAGAGGTAACATGAGTAAATAACTAAGGCCATCAGATTGCTAGCAGAAGATGCTGAGATAAAACTAGGGGAGAGGTAGCCGGGCTCGGTGGCTCAGCCTGTAATCCCGCGCCTTTGGGAGGCTGAGGTGAGTGGATTGCCTGAGCCCGTGGGTTCGAGACCCGCCTGGGCAGCGAG